TCCGCTAAGGGACGAATGCCTTTCGGCGTGACAAAATGGCCCAAGTACTCAAGCTCTTGCCTGGCGAATTCGCACTTGTCGAGATTCGCTTTGTACTTGGCTAGTCGCAAACAATTCAAAACACCGCGAAGGTGTACGATGTGCTCGTCCAACGTCCTACTATAAACCAAGATATCATCAAGGTAGATGAGGATGCTGCGATCGAGCAAGTCGCGAAACTCAGTCGTCATCGCTGCTTGAAACGTTGCGGCATTGGTGAGGCCAAATGGCATAACAACCCACTCAAAATGCCCATACCGCGTCTTGAACGCGGTCTTGTACCGGTATTGAGGCTGGATTTCAATCTGGTGGTAACCTGACTTCAGATCCAACTTCGAGAAGTACGTCGCGCCGCCTAACCGCTCAAGGAGATCATCAATCCGAGGGAGAGAATACGTTCTTTACGGTTTGTGCGTTAAGTTTTCGATAGTCAATGCATAACCGTAGATCTTTGTTCTTCTTCCGGACGAAGAGAACAGGTGCACCGTATGGAGAGCAACTAGGGCGAATCCARCCCTTGTCGAGAAGGTCATCGAGTTGTGCGCGAAGCACTTCGAGTTCCTCTTCGCTCATGCGGTAGATACATCCACGCGGAGGGACGGCGCCTGCCTCGAGAGTGATCCCGTGACGTATGGGCCGATCCGGAACCGTTCCGGTGGGAGCCTCGAAGACGTCTCTATACTCGTCCAAGAGGTGAGAAATGCGTGGGTCCGGTGGTGACGAGGCTGGTCCGTCCGGCGAGGGGAGAGCATGCAAGAATACAAGGCCCATCTCCGCGACGTCATTCCGAGCGATGGCGTCGCGAATTCTCGCAACGGAAACCACGTGACAAGCAATCGAAGTGTGAGGGGTCGCGACCGTACATGGGACTAACATTCCGTTCCGATCACGGGTGTGAACGGTTCGGTCATGGAAGTTCACCGGATGATCGGCGCTACGCAACCAAGACATGCCTAGAATCATGTCAAACTTGGTGTCGAGGATGTCAAAAGACACTGGCTCGCACGCAAGTGGCGCAAAGTAGACCGGAACGCCGTCAACGCATCGGTCAATTGACTTCTGCGTGCGGCCGTCCGCGAGTGTAACTTGTGTAGGTTGCGTCTTTCTTCGAACGCGCGGGCCAAGACCTGCGCGGGCCATAAAGGCTTGACTCATGAAGTTGCGAGACGCTCCGCAATCAATCAAGGCACTACAGGTTGCCTTTCCAATCTGAATGCGGATATAGAGCAAAGGTGCGTCGGTTTCGGCGTACCTTTGGGTGGCGTGCTCGCGGTCGATCTTCGCAAGATAGGAGCGGAGATCGGCAACCGCTACCCCGTCG